TTCACATCCACTGCGCGGCCACTCTCTGCCAACAGGACGTCAAAGACTTTGATCCCAGGATTAATGAGGAGAATCTGTCCAATTGTCTGCAGTCGCTGAAGGACTTCTACTACGACCTGTCCCTCCGTGGCGTCTACTGTGACAACGAGTCGGAGTTCCGGTGCTATGAAATCCTTCTGCATTTGAATGACACGCCAATCATCCGCGAAGTCCAGAACTATCGGCAGTCGATCCGCGACTCATCCGAAGTGCAGTTTGCGGTGAAGGCCTTCTTCGCCTATCACTCCAACAATTATCACCAATTCTTTAAGCTCTTAAACCAGAGCTCATACCTCATGGCCTGTGTATTGCACCGGTATTTCGTGACAATGCGGTTCAAGGCGTTTAAGATACTTCGCAAGTCCTACACGTCTACCAACTCTTCAGTACAGGAATATCCGTCACAACTACTCATCGATTGTCTCGGGTTTGAGGACTTCTCGGAATTGAGACAATTCTGTGATCACATCGGACTTGAGTGCAACGATGGCTTTGTTTATCTAATCCGTGGCCAAAACCAAAGCGCTGCCATCAAACCGATGCGATCCATGCGATTGGTTGAGAGCAAGCGAACGGTGTCTGTGGGAGAGATAATCAATGGTAAACCGTTACCGCCCAACCCCTACAGATCCAGACCCGTTCACAATAGCTTCGGCGCCGACCATAAGCTCAACGCTGAGGCCACAGAAGCGTTGGATCAGCGAAACAAAGACAAAAGTTTGGTAGAAAATACACCACAATTTGGTCCAAATGTGTTGTTTAAACCTCCAGTTGTCTCTAAACCAGACTTTTCGGGATCTATTTTCAGACCACAAACCAGTGTTAATGCGATTCCTATGAAAACTAAATCATTTTTTACGGCTAATTCAACTCCATTTCGTTTGCCTAACATTACTGCCGCCCCTCCCGTCACCGCAAGCTTTTTAATGCCAACTCGAAGTCCAAGTTTGTCCACAAATGTAGACATCGAGAGCTCGTGCGATGATATTTCTGAAGAAGTGATCGCAACTGTTATCAAGCAATTAGTTACAGAGTTTTGTACGGAAGAGTTGAAGCGCATGAAGACGATTATGGCTCAACATCTCGTGACTGTACTCTTTTCCGATATATTCCTCGAGACCACCGATGATATGATCGAAAGGATTGCTGTAAAGGTTATTAATGATGAAAACGATTTGAAGGCTCAAGAAATGGAAATATTGGAAGAGTTGAAGAACCAATTGTGCGAACAGTTGTCCAAAGAGTTTATTGGTTCAGAAATTAGTGGTATTTGTGGACAGGTTTTGAGTGATTGTCATAAGGAATACAATGAGAAACGGATTGAATTTATTGCCAATGAGTTCTTGACGGAACAGTTGGATCAGTTTACGACAGCCATTGCTCACAGAATTTATTCATCGGCTCGTGAGGAAAGGGAAGCCATTATTCGCTTAATACGTGATAATCGGGTGAAGCGATTGGAAAACAAGTATTTTAATCAATGGCGAGACGTGTTTGCGAAGCGAAAGCGACACAAATATCTTAAGGACTCATTCCCTGCGGCACCCAATTGGCAGCCAAAGGATCCGGAGGTCAATGAAGTCAAGTACAGCTTATCTGAGCAGTCATTTGATGATAATTTCAGTAATCGTATAGAAAGGGAACTGTTGGCCAATAGTTTTCTATACCATTGCATCGATTCGTTGGTCAAAGAGATCGCCGAACAAGCGATGGAACTGTCGATCAAACGGAATCAACAGATCTTTGAGTACTTCAGACAAAAGCGATGCCAAAGATTAGGGTTTAAGTACTTCCAGAAGTGGAAGTCCTATTGTTGTACAAAGAAATTGAATGCTTTGCGGCAGTCATTTCCGGCGGCACCCAATTGGGAGTCGACCCGCAAACCTATCGCCAGAAGTCAATACTCACTCTCGTGTCTCGAACCCGACATCAAGATATCGCCCAAACGAATGAGACGGGAAGTCGTGCCACCAGTTTGTGTCACTCAAGAGGAGAGTTCAGATTCGCCGTCAAATTTGAGGAAACTTTTAGAGCAAGAGATGCGGGAATCGCAAGAGTTTACCAAAAGACTGAACCTATCGTTGAGTAATATATCGTCGCATTCAGCGGACAGAGCGGAGGGACAGGCGATGGATGAGAGGGTTGACAGCGATGGTGAGGATGTGGTTGAGGCTCAACAACAGTCGAAGATAATAGTCTGCGAGACGCTGGAAGACAAGAGGGCGCGACTGGAAAGGCTGTTGAGTGAAGAGGGGGAGTACTTCTCGCTCTATAATTTTGTCGACTATTTGTCCACAGATTTGGTGTCCGACACCTTCAATGAGTAATTATTTTTATAATGAGATTATATTTACGGTTTGATTATTAGTCTGTTTTTTAATGAAATTATATCATTTTTTATGAGAAATTTGTACTGTTTTGTGATATGAATGCTGTATTATAAATGTATTTACGGTAATAAAAATATCAACATTTTCTGAATTGATTCATTTGTAATGTTTGGTCACAGTATCTTTAACCCTGATCAGTGAAAATCTAAGCCTAGATATTACATGTACCATAATTACAAGTAATTTTAAGCAAACTACTTTTTTAGCATCTCTCTCTCTCTCTCTCTCTCTCAGAACATGAGAAATATAAGAATAAATTTATACTGTAAATAGGAAAAAGTTTAAATTAAATATAACTTGTTTTTCAAGTCCGACTTTGTTTATGTAAATTATTTATCGATTTAAATTGCTTTATTACACTTGAAATTTTTGTGTCCTCTAAACGAAATAATTACAAATATTTTAAAATATAACCATTATATTATACAGTACTTTAATATTTTATTATTAAAATGTTTGCTATAATTGAAACCAATTATGTCTAGTATATGTAGAAAATTTCTCATTTCAATTGTTGTTTTGTTAGCTATAAGTTTTATTTATGTTATTATAATATTATTCTCACCACCCGGAATATTGCTTGATATTGAACCCAAGTCTCATAAGTAAGTGACCAAGTGTGAATTTCAAATTATAGTTTTCTTTAAGAATGTTTTATATTAATTATTTTGTTTAAAAACAAGTTATTTTTATTTGCTTTAATTATCTTAGATATTAATAATTTTAGAATTTAAAATAATGTTATGTAAAACTGGTACATATACTGTATATAATTTAGTAATAACCACATGTATATTGTTATCTTAACAAGTTATTTTTATTTGCTTTAATTATCTTAGATATTAATAATTTTAGAATTTAAAATAATGTTATGTAAAACTGGTACATATACTGTATATAATTTAGTAATAACCACATGTATATTGTTATCTTGAATAATTATTCTATTCAATCTATTACTCAAAGATCAGATATTGATCAATTATAAGCTCAAAAGTTTTGATTTATAATAAATACGAGTGTCTAATGTCTAATTTGAACAAATGTATCATTTGCACAGTGTTTCACTCCCGGCATCATTTTGTGGACCGTTTAAGGAAAATAACATTTTATCAAAAAGTGAAAAACTATTTGAAAATGCAATCCATGGCCCGGAATCAGTGGCTATTTTTAATGACACTGTATTCACCAGTTCTAGTGATGGATATATTTATCGCATCGATGAACAGAACAATCAACTAATTCCTGTCATCAAAATAATTAACAAGACATGCGAGACATGGGATCAACACCTTTGCAGTCGACCCCTCGGGCTAAGGTTCGACACCAATGGCCACATGTATGTGACGGAACCATATTTTGGTATATTTGTCGTAAAGCATATAATGTCCGGCAAACCTATAGCCGAACCCATACTTATGTACACAGAAACTGAAGTTTTAGGGAAAAAGTCAACATTTTTTGATGATTTGACAATAGATGAAAATAGTGGCCATAATGGCGGACACGTTATCTATATCACTGAAATGAGTTCAAAATTTGATTTATCTGAAATGATTATAGCAGCTGCCGATGCTTCCCAAACGGGACGTATATTACGGTATGACATAATGGCTAAGAAGTTGGACATAGTGTTGGACCATATTCTGTGTCCAAATGGTATTGAGTTGAGTGATACCAAAGAAAGTCTGTTGTTTGCCGAGACTATAACTCGAAGAATAAGCAAGCACTACATAAAAGGTCCTAAAAGTGGACTAACTGAGCGAGTACTAAGTGGTTTACCAGGTGAACCCGATAATATACGCAAAACTACACACAATACCTATTGGATAGCAATAGTCAGCGCTCGCACTCAAGAGAATCCACTGTTAATGGATTGGACTGAAGACAAGCCATGGATCAGAAAATTATTGCTAAGAAGTTTGCATTTATTTGGAAGTATAGTTCAATGGATAGGAACGGTATTGGCAAGTGATAGTATTAAGAATGTAGGCTTCTCTGTGAAAACAGGTTTAAGTGATTTATTTGTGGGCAAACTTCTACAACACTCACACGGACTGGCCCTCGAGGTGACCGAATCGGGTGATGTCATCCGAAGTCTTCACTCTCCCGATGGATACATAAGTTTGTTGTCCGAAGTGAATGAAGTGAAACGTGACAATCAAACCATTTTGTATTTGGGATCGTTTTATAACACATTTGTTGGCAAATTAATTATAGACTAAACACTCACGTATTATTTATTAAATAAAAATTCATAATTTAATTATTCAAAGCATTGCATTTATATGCGAATAATTATACAATTGCTATCAATAATGGCCTGGCTACCCGTTTATCCTGTGACGGGTTTACGTTGTGTCCCGTACGCCAATGCCTGAAATACTCCCTGTGGCTGTGTCTGAGGTACGGACTTTGGTTGGGATACGGACTGTGGTTGAGGTACGCCCTGTGCCTGAGGTACGCCCTGCGCCTGAGGTACGCCCTGTGGCTGAGGTACGGACTGTGGCTGAGATACGGCCTGGGGTACGGCCTGAGACTGGACGGCGGCCCCCTGTTGTCCCTTAACCTTAGGCTGGAGTATAGTTCCCAAACAACCAGCGTAACAGAAATCTAAGGACTTTTTGTAGGCTTTGTTGTTATTATAGCAGATGTGTCCGCAATAGGACGACACCTTGATCTTTTGGATCTGTGCCGGTCGGAGGTTGACCTCGTTGTCCGGTTTTTTGGTCTTAGTCGCGAAGCAAACCTGCATACACCGGACCACATTGCTATCAAATGGTTCATGGTTGATGTTCACATTCTCGGGGTTCAGGTTATTGGGATCCACTTTCCAGCACTCGCTGCCACATGAGGCCAGCAAATTGATTGCATCCAAGGTTTGGGCTGAAAATGGTTAAGCATTTCATACGGCATTTGCGCTCAAATCTTCAAATCGTTTTTATTTAGTATAATAGAGATTTCAAATGTATGAATACCTGAGCTGACAGACCATGAGATGGTAAGACAGAGTCCGACGAGCAGTAAATTCTTCATCTCTTGATTTAGTCGTGAAAATGAAGTCTTTCTTAACTTTCTGTAAATATGTTTCAATAACTCAAATATGTTTCAGTTTAATTAATTAATTACATTACAACAAAATTTAATTAAAGTTTTAATTATGTGATGATAATGTTAGTTTGTGCGCATTTAATATACTGGAAAAATTAATAAATTGCATTAGTTTTAAACTTATGTCATTTGAAATTTAATTTAAAAATACGATTTTAGATTATTTTGGGTTTTAATTAAACAGCTATAGTTTAGTGATGTTTTTGTGTTATAATTTTGAAAATCGCTTTTTAAATTATTCAAATAGTTTAGGCATAAATTTCTGTGATAAATAACAACTAAATTAATTAAATACTAAATCATTGCTAAATAAAGAGTTTTAATCATTTTCATGTATAAGCTTAAATTTTATTCATTTAATTAAATACTTTTAGTTAATTGATTATAAATTAAATGCAAAATCTTTTACTATGAAATTTTAGAGCAAGGATAAAATTCTTTAAAATTGTTTTAATAATTAATACTGTATATGTTTTGCATTATGTTTAAGTATTAAATGGTTATATTGCTAAAAGGATTTTGTATTTTAAATAAATTCATATTCTTAACAAGGCATTTTAGTCTACAACACCATAATTTCGGTTTTTTTTGTAATTTATAAATTTAAAAAATCTAATTTAATTTTGTACAGGAGTTGAGTCACATTTCCTTACCACGTATTATTGCATTACACATGTATTTCCTATACATTTCCAATTGCTATCATATTCTGTACAAGTATTACAGCTAATTGAATGCAGTGTAAAGTAAATGTAATTGTACAAAAAAATTAGTTATTAATAGGATTGTCAATTCAATGTTGTTTTGTACTCAATATTATAATCACAAGTGTTTTTATGACTACACATTTACAGCTAATTGAATGCAGTGTAAAGTAAATGTAATTGTACAAAAAAATTAGTTATTAATAGGATTGTCAATTCAATGTTGTTTTGTACTCAATATTATAATCACAAGTGTTTTTATGACTACACAGTAATTGCATTAATCATATCATCAATAAGACTGAAATAAATATAAATATAACGACAATAAATAGTAATCAAACAAATCAAAAGTTTGCGACAGTATCTCAATTAGATTTGTTAACAAAGTCAATATCAGTACTGTAGCTTTAGATTAGTAATGTGTTTAGAGTAGTAAATAAAAGAAATTCCACATAGAGTTGTTTTTAGTTTATATATTTGCCAAATATTAACTCAATACCAATAAAATCAAGAATTTTTATTTAATTACTTAAACCTCAAAGTAATTGAAAGTTTGAGTGAAAAACTTGTATTATAACAGAAAAGTCATAATTTCGTACGACTTGTGCCGTAGCTATGAAGCGCTCTAATTGTTAAATAAGGCATAAGTTTGCTGTCTGTCTGTCGACTCGAAAATCACATTTTCTGAGTTTAATTGACCAAAACTTTTGTTTGTAATTATATTAAAAAGTTTTCCAGTTTTGTTTGGGACCCGAAATAGGCATTTGTGCCACTCTTTCACCAGTTGTCGACCAAATCCATGTGTGAACACAACTATGGATTTGATTTCCTTTCTAACCATCGCTTCAATCATTGCCTTAACATCTCTTATAATAAGTTGTCTTTTCAAGAGATTCAAAACCAATCGTTTGTTTCATTCATCCGGTGATACCACCGATGGTTGTGTTGTCGTCAATGTAACCACAAATGCAGACAATTTCCACAAAAGTTCCTCAGAGAACAGGTCTTCCATCAGACCTGTTGTTAGTGATGAAGAGGTGTCACCACTGCCTGACTGCTCCCCAAACACCACCAATGAGTCCTTTGAATCAAATGAAGACTCTTTCAGTCACTTAAGAGTGGATCCGTTGAGACATCTGAACAAATCACGGCCCCGGAGGTCACAAATCAGAAGATCCACTCGAAAGTCCAAATACATGTCTGAATCGAATCCATGTCTGGACGGTGCAGTTGACGACACCAATGACATGGAGGACAGCAACCATATCAACGACTATACCGATGCCAAAGAGGACGATAACGTGAATGTCTTCGACAGTGACTTCAAGCAGAAGATCAGTCAAACACTGTCTATGTTTTCTCAACGCATCGAAGATGTCACTCAACCCCTGTCTCAGACACCACTCACACCCCCTCCCCCTCCACACCCGTCCCAGTCGTCCTGCGATGCCGAAGAAGTGGAGGAATCGTTAGTTTTGTTAGAAAACAGTGAAAATGGTTTACCGAAGAGAAACACAAAAGTGATGGGAAGTGCTCTCTTCAGCGCCGACATCATCGCTGAGCTCAAGAACAGACAATTGGAATCAAACCACAAATCGTTAATTCAATGAACATTTTAATCGCTATTTTAAGTGATTTTTATTTAAATTAATTAACTTTTAAAGTCATGTTTTATAACATATTTTCTCATTAAATGAATTGTCATTATTTGCATTAATTAATTATTAATGAATTCATAACTATTCAATTGATTTACAAGTTTTATAATATAGATGTGAGAGGGGGGGCCCTCCCTTACCCATACGATCATACTTAAGTCAAATCATTTTGAAATATAATATAATCATCCAGGTATCATATTTAATATACCTGTACTATAATATGTAATATATTATGTAATATAAGAAAATTACTTCAATCAACATGTTAATGACCATAGTTTTAATTTGAAAAACAAACTAAAAATGATACGGGATCAAATTGTGAAACGAACAAGCTCATAAAATTAGTTCTACGGTAAAAGTTCTAACAAACAGATAAAGTTTGATATGAAATACAAAAAATTGTCAAAACTGAGTTTCATTGCCATTCATTGGCATTGAAAGCAGTGTTGAGGACGTGATTGATGTGAAACCCATTGCAGTATTGTTTGACAAATGGATGAAAAACATTGCATTTGTTTCACGATTTAAACCACAATTTGATCCCAATTTGCGCTCATTTACCACCAATTGTCTCGTTGTCTGCGGTTGTGGTCACCAGTTGTCTCCCATTGAGACCAAATGGCGGACGTGTTAGACATTCTCGAGTTGGACCACCCGTCCAACGATGGCCTGCCGGCCGACAACCGGAAGGTATGTGTTCATTGATTGTGTCCATCGATTGTCTCAACAAACTTGTGGTTAACTTCAGGTGCGGAGGAAGCGAGCGTCGGATCAGCTGTTCAAACGACCCGAAGGAATGCACAGAGAGTTATATGCCTTACTATATGCGGACAATAAGTATGACATTCAATGATAATTGAAGACATTCACTGACCACTCGTGTCGATGACTCTCTTCAGGGACAACCCATCGCTGATCCCCACAGACATCGGCTTTTTATATGCCTTACTATATGCGGACAATAAGTATGACATTCAATGATAATTGAAGACATTCACTGACCACTCGTGTCGATGACTCTCTTCAGGGACAACCCATCGCTGATCCCCACAGACATCGGCTTTCAGAACAAATCGATGGTTGGATACAAACAAATCAAAGCCAAACTCGGACTCAAGAGAGTGCGGCCATGGATTTGGACCCGATTTAGTCCCAAGGTATTACTGTTTACTCTTGTTATCAATTGAGGGATTAATGCGATTATCCATTGCTTCAGGAGAAGATAGAGTTATATCACTGGCGGCGAGAAGTGGACAAAAACAAAGAGTATCCGTTCGCTCGACTCAATACCGTAAGCCATTAAACCATACAATGATTGCACTGATCCACTGATCACCCGCTGGATGTGTCTGTCTGTCCATCAGGTGATCGAAATCCCTGTCTATAACGACACGGAATACCAGCAGTTGTTGTCGAGTGATGTGTGGAGTAAAGCGGAAACCGACCATCTCTTCGATCTGTGCCGTCGTTTTGACCAGAGATTCGTTATAATCCACGACCGCTGGGATAGGAATACATTCGCCATCCGTTCCGTCGAAGACCTCAAAGACCGCTTCTACAGTGTGTGCAACGCGTTGGCCAAAGTGCGGGCCCTCCCGG